CGCTGAGCCACCCAGGGATCCCCCCCACTAACAGGTCTAATAGACATTTCAAACTCAGTTCAAAACTTAACTCCCAATTGTTTCATTGGCCCCAAGTCTGGTTTCCCTGTGGCTTTCCAGCTCCGTTAGTGGCAACTCCATCCTTCCAATGACTCAGATAATAGCCCTACAGTTACTCTTGATTCTTCTCTTTCTTTCACACACATGTGTTAGGATATCCTGTTGGTTCTATCTGTAAGATATATTCAGAATCCAACCATTTCTCACCACCTCCACAGCCACACCTTGGTTGCATCACCACTGTCTCTGACCTGGGTTACTGCCATGGCCTCTTATTTATTCATGAGAGACACACACACACACACACACACACAGAGAGAGAGAGAGAGAGAGAGAGAGAGAGAGAGAGATGCAGAGACACAGGCAGAGGGTGAAGCAGGCTCCATGCAGGGATCCTGACGTGGGACTTGATCCTGGGTCTCCAGGATCACACCCTGGGCTGAAGGCAGCACTAAACCGCTGAGCCACCTGGGCTGCCCACTGCCATGGCCTCTTAACTGGTCTTCCTGATTTTACTCTTGCCTTCCTATGTCTTTTCTCAACACAGTAGCTAGGAGGAGTATTTCAAAATAATGTCAGATGGTTATTTGTCTTTTCAAAATTTTGCAGTGGCTTTCCATTTCATTCAAAATAAAAGCTAAAGTCCTTACAATGGCTTGTAAGGCACTATATGGTCAGCTCCCCCTTTATTTCTCCAATGTCATCTTCTATTGCTCTACTCATACCACTCTTGTCCTCCTTGTATTCCCCTGATCTGGAATTTTCTTCCTCTAGATTTCTTCTACTAGGTCTCTGCTCAAACCTTATCTTTTAATTTCAGACTACATCTCTACCCTATTTAATATTGGAACCCCACTTACCCTATGTCCCTGGAATATACCATCTCCTTTCCTTGTTCTACCCTTTCTTTTCCATGGTACTTGTGGAGGATAGTATCATCCAAAGATTGTATTTTCCAATATCTCCTGTTCTGCATTCTCTTTTAGAATCTTACAACTGTCCCTCTGTCCATCAAGAGATGGAGTCTAATTCTCCTTCTTTGGAATAGGTAGTTATTACTTGCTTATGACCAATACAAAGAGGTAGCAGTGATGCTTTACGATGTCCAAATCTAGGTCACAAAGGATAATGTACTTTCTACTTTGTTAGCTAAAAGGCTCGCCTTTGAAGCTATGAGCTACCACATAAGAAGTCCAACATCCTGAGGCTACCATGCTGTGAGGAAGCCCAGGCCACTAGAAGAGGCCATGTGTAGGTGTTCCAACTGGCAATCCTACTGAGATCTGAGTAGACAGCCTGCAGCAATCACTAGATATGAAAGTAAAGATGCTCTCTGATGATTTCAGGCCTGATCTTAGAGCCTTCCATGTCAAGGTTTCAGTTATCGAGGAGCAGAAGCAGACCTGTTGTGCCATGTCCAAATTTCTGATCCACAGAATCAGTGAGCACAATACCTTGGCTGTTTTGTGTCACTAAGATTTGGGATAGTTTGTAACATAGCAAATAGTATGTCTCAGTGTTTAACATACTACATTAATTACTAACATATTACATTAACTGAATTGTTATAAAATAACTGTTTTTTATCTGAATTCACAGTTTTAATTTTTTTATTATGAAAACCTCGAACCCCAAAACCCAATCCCAACCCACTACTAATAGGTCCACCCGCCATGAGCCCCACAGGCCAAACTATCTGTCACAGCAGTCCAAACCCAGACATTTTTACACCTCCACAATCAATGCCCCCCGCGTCCACAACCAGGCCTACTGCCTCCGTACCCCCCTCCAAACAACACCACATCACACCGCCAGCGTACTCTGGGAGCCTCGATCGATCCCCACAACATACCACAGAGGCAAAACCACCCCACCGACCATACAAAAACAAACACATAAAAACCCAAACAAAAACAATCAATCAATAAATACAAAAAAACAATCTAAACCCAAAGCCCCCGAACTAACAAACAATTAAACAACCCCACCACGCATCACCCCCCCCCCCTCAACCACACGCCAGGCCCAACCAGACCCAAAAGATCACGCAATTCAACCCCACACAAACTCCCCACAACCAATGTGCCCCACCCACCCTCCTCCCTACAAACAATCGCCCCCAAAACCACCCACCAAACTCTCCCACCCCCCCCGCCAAAACTCCTCCCACGCAAAATCACCCGCAGCTCCTACCCACCAACAAAAAAAAACCCACAAACAAACAAAACGTGCTCCCTCTCGCCATCGCTCTCTCAACCCCCCGCCGCGCGCTTTCTCTGCTCTCGCTCCCAATCTCCACAGCCCAGGTCCTCATTTCCTCTTGTGGCTAGCTTGCTCGCCACACTCACTCCTTCCACCCCCCACGATCTCCCCCTTAGCCCCAATGCAGGGCTTGATTCCATGACCCATGAGATCACAACCTGAGATTTCGCAATTTGAAATCAACTTAACTGACTGAGGCACCCAGGTGCCCCTGAGAAGTCAACCTGTACGTCAACTTGTTAAACCCACTCATTTGTATGAAAAAAAGAAAGGAAAGACTGAGCAAGGGTGATAGGCAAGAAAGAGCACATAGCATGTTGGTTTGACAGTGGCCTAGAGGCCCAAGAACCTTATGTCTACAACAGGGCACAGTCTTCAAGCAGGTCTGTGACTTATATACCCATTCTGTAGATTCCAGACATCCTGGGAGCTTTGATAATCAAAGTAATATCTAGCTAAAGTCTAGGAAAGGGGACGGACCACATTGTGGAAAGACCTCATAAAGTAACACTTCCCAATTAACCTCTAATTAATCAGAAAATGTGTCAATTACAAGCTAAACATTCCAGTTAACTGATTAATATAATTTAAACAGATTGAATGCAAGGCTAGTCTACTTAGCGATGTTTCCATGTGGGGTCTAAATGACTGAATGACACGCACCATTTTCTCTTTCACTATTAAGATGGATCGTTTCCATGCCATAAGGTTTGGAAAATGCAAAAAGGCACAAAAATAATTTTAACAATCAACCCAAATCCTATCACACAAGGACGGATACTTTCAAACAGGCTATCATTCTGGAAGGAAATGCACTGAAGGAGTCAGATATACTTGTATTTTTGTTCTCAAATGTTAGACTGTAGGTTCTTAGAATACTGTTTCTTAGTCTTTGACTATTTGTTCTCCTTTCTCATAAGTGACCTGTATCCCTGGATGCTGGTGGGACCTTAAAACAAATAAGGTCTAATGACAGCTGATGACTTATTAAACCATCATGACACGGAATATGCCTTTACTGACAGCACACTCCGTCCTGACAGTCACTCACCAGTCAGATCTACAGAGATGTGTATAAGCACATGCACGTATACCCTCTTCACACTTTAAGGGGCTGGGACCATTCAACAAAAACCCTGGGAAATAAGGCATAGGGATCGGAGGTGCTGAGACCATCTCCTTCAATTATCATCCTAATTTCCTCCACGATTTGTAGATTGATCATATGAAAAATGCTCTTTTACTTAGACCATATTTGAAATTAAATGCAAGTTCTCTTGAGCTGGTAATCACTCACATCCATTGACATAAATGTTTTTGTTCTCATAAATGTGTCCAACATGCCCCCTGCCACTGTGTTTTATATTCTCATAAAGTTTTAGGACCAGACAGGCCCTAAGCAATCACCTTACCCAAACCCTCCATTCAATTAATAAAGAATTTTAAAACCCAGGTAGCAAAATGATATGCTAATATCACACAGTTTATTGTATTGGAATCTGGTTGTCTGGAGCCCCAACCTAGCACCATTTCATGACCTCACACAGCTTGTGAAATACTGCTTTGTAAGCTCTTTCTCAGAATATAGTCTGAGAGATAAACTTAGTCTGCATTATCAAGAATTCCAAATGTGTAGAGTCTGAGTCAATGCATTTGCACTGCACACAGTGTAACTGAACCAAGCATATTTGGGGCACATGCTGCATGTGAAAAAAAAAACCACAAAAAACTAGTACATATAACTCAGAGCCTGGCATACAGTAGATGCTAGAAAGATATTTTAGGAAGGAAGGAGGAGAGGGGGAGAGAGAGAGAGAGGAAAAGGAGAATCGGAGAAAGAAATGCTTGTTTTCAGAGCTGGCTGCAAGAGGAGGCTTGCAAAAAAAAAAAAAATTCCTCCTGGGGAGTGAGGTGCTCTTTAGTTCAGGAAAACATCTTAATGAGTTTTTCCTTCTATTTTATTTCACTCTTTGGAAAAGGTGGGCAAGGTCTGAAACAAAACGACAGAGAAAGCTGAGCTGTTCTGCACAACAGTGAGGGGAGTGTAGGAATTCTTTTCTCAGCTGCTGGGAAAAAGAAAAAAAAAAGGAAAATTTTGAGGACACTACAAAGGACTTTTGGGAAGGAGTGGACAGACATGTGTCTGAAGACCAGAACCTCAGAAGGACTTCTATTTAGCCACTTCCTGTACTTAGCTGCAATTCTTCTCTTATTCCCCAAGCCTTAGTAACAACCACTACTTGCAAGTCCTATGCATTAGAGATGCTCTGGGGAAGGAGGAAGGAGAAAAGGGATGAGTAGGGGAAAGAAGGTACAGAGAGAGAGAAGACACTAGAAGTGATAGTGACTTGGCAGGAGTGGGAGGTGTTGAGAACAAAGCAGAAGTAAGATAACGGGGCCAAAGGTGATTACGAGCAATCAGGTCTCCCAGAAATCACTGGCTGGCCTTTTTTTTTTTTTTTTTAATAAGTGGATGGGGTTTGAGCCCTCTGTCTTCCTATTACAGGAAGGTATGAATCCAAATTGATTCAGTAGGTATGGGTGGGGACTAAGATGGTGCCTTTCCAACATGCTATCACTGGGGGTGACACTGATGCTGCTGCTGGTCTGGGGACCACAGTTTGCATCACAAGCATTTAGCACCCATAAAACCTCTGCACCACAGGTCAGTCTCTTACCTCATATTCCTCTTTGAACCCGTAGCCCTGGCCTCTCTTCATCTGGGTGATGTGCTGCAGCAGGTCAGCCACTCGGATGGCGGGCTGGAACTGGTCCCGGGGATAACTCATCTCCACGGGGTCACAAGCTCGGTAGGGGTGAGTCTGGATCGTGAGTGTGGGCTGGGACAGCTCCCCACGGCTGCCATCTGCTTCAAAGAGAAGAAGGCAAAACAATGCCTATGAGTTTTGTCCTCTGTCCTCCCTGCCTTCCCCAGGGCAGGGGGATCTAACTCAGGCCTCAAGTAATCAGGAAACTGCAGGAAGAACAGACACACACTGCTTCCCTGGCATGGCCGTGGCGGTAGATTTAAAAATCGAAACAACAAACAAACCAATGAACACAATAACCCTTGGTTTGTTTCTATTCCAAGGGTGCATCTCGGTGGAGCCAAGACAAAATTCCAGGTTGACTGTCATCCTCTGCCTGTCATAGTCCTTGGTCCAGTCTTGACAGGGTGCTCTTGGCCAATCATGGCCAAGCCCAGAATAAGTGAGAAGCCAGACAGCTGTTTAGGAGCTAGGATGCCTGGAAATCTAATCATCTCTGGTGCCTGCTCCTGGTCCATTTGCCTACGTCCTTGGGAGGGACGGGAGCCAGTCTTGGACCCCAACAGAGAGCAGGGATCCTGACCCTCTCAGCTGCTCTCTCCTGCTGTGGGCTCTGCCTACTGTCTCGCTCCCCCACCTTGATCCTTGATCTCGTTCCTCGCTGAACCCACCTGGCGGTAAGGAAGTCCAAACCTCTTCCTTTAGTCCTGCCAGCTACTTCTCTCAGACCTAGAGTCCCATATCCCCTCTTCTTTACCAGATCTCTCCTTGATGGAAGATCTATGCTCTCCCTGATAATAATCTCTATACCCACGGAGTTGTTCTAACTTCCCTCTCTAGGCCACCTGGAAACAGACACATGCTGAGGTCAGATTTGAATTTCCCCATTCCCCTTGGACCAGAACCACCACATTCTTGCCCTACCGACTCCCTGGCAAGCGCGTAGTACTGGTCTTTTAGGGCCAGTTTGTCTTTTTCACAACCACCTAGGCTTGGTTTCACCAACCTCCTCCCAAGGACACGGTCTGTGTCCTAGGCCCTCCTGTTGTGGCATGCACTAGATGAGAACTGCTATTTTTGATGTCACTCACCCCAGTGCTTTCAGACAATGCAAGCTACCCAGGCAGACCCTATTAAGCCTTTAGCAGAGGGTGAGGCATATATTCCTTAAGGCTTTAGCATATATTCCTGACTTTCTGCAACCTGTCTTTTCAAAATTCATGTTTCCTTTAGCTTGTTTGTCGCTTGTGTCACAACAGTCCCTCAGACACTGATTCTATATGTAAAAGTGGAACTTTTTATGTGACAGCAAGAGCAAAACTGTTCTGAGCAGAGAAAGGATTGCCAACAGAAAGGTCTAGAGTGTATAGGTTTACGTACAGGGAACAAGGGCCTAGGTGAGATGTTAGCACAGCTTTCTTGACGGCACAGAAGAAAAATACTGCTTACTTCTGGGATTGTAGGTGTCGGGGAGCACATCTTCACTGGCACTGTTTAAATGTAGAGCTTTGCAAATGTGGGGCTGCTTTCCTCCTTCCCCACACGGTGGGGATCAGGAGTCAGATTTATTGAGAACTCACTCTCAATGTGCCAGGAACTGTGGTAGGCGCTGGCAATGCACAGATTTCACCCTCAAGGCTTGATAGCCTAGTATGGCAGACAGACAAGAACCATCTGAAGCATGAGAACAGAAGCCAGAGAAGTCAAGTACATTTAGGGAAGAACAAGGAGACTGGGATGGAGAGAAGGTGGTGAGTGGAAACGTGATGGGGCAAAGTTGTAAGAGATGATAGGTGGTAGGTCAAGAAGGCTGTCAATATGAGAGAATCTCCAAGCCAGTGGGAAGCTATTGAAGGGTTTTCATTCCTCTCTTTAAAGACACACTATTTTTTTTTGCAGGTGTCCCAGCTGTTACAGATATAAGGCCCCCTTCCAGTGAATATCACTCCTGTGACAGTGTGGTGGGGTTGGAGATGGAGAAGGAGCACTTGAGTTTGCTTCTCTAGATGCTGCACTTCATAATCCCTAGGAGAGCATGAGCTGGAGTCAGTGCCCGAGCCTTGGGAGTGTCTCCCACTTAAACTACCAGTACACATGGGGACAGATGTCTTCAGAGACCTGGGGTCTCCCAAAGGCCCTGGGGTGTGGACTGCCTGAGAGGCCGGCTCCCTGGTAGAGACAGGCTTCTTGGGAATGGGCACCTGGCAAATTTTGTGAGATGCCAAGTGTTACCCAAACCAATATGGATATTTTCCCTAAACACATTGCTAGACAGACTGGAAACTTGGTGTCAGCAAAACCAACACTGGAATGGAAAACAAATGCATTTGAAATTTAACAACTTGTATTGCTGTAACATTTGTAATAATGTCAATGCCGGTGCTAATGATGCTATGAAGACTCAGAACCAAGGGGCTTTCAAGGTTTATTAATTCAACTAGTTGGACTCCCTTTTCCAATGTATCTTACCTCACCTATTCCCTTATTAACCTCTGATAATGCAGAAGTGATGCCTTTTATCACACCCCATTTCACCAGACGCACTATACTTAATTTCCCATCATTAGGTTTAATGAAAACCCAATTTCACAACTCACTTCTCTCAGGAACCTACAAGTAATGCTACGTTTTTATCAGCCCCAATTAAAAAATGTTATGATGTTCCTATTCGAGAGGGAGCCTTAAAACTAATGTGCGATTCGGCAGCTAATTCAACAAGGGTGCTAGAATTCACATGCTGCTCATAAAATGTAACTCAAACCAGCTGGCCCAGGGAGAGAGCACTGCTCATTTTTCTCCTCACCAGACCCTTAATTTTCATGCCATTTCAACTTCTCATGTATGGGTCTTGCATGTTTATCTATCACATAATCATATTTTGGATTTCTTCTACATTTTTATTTTTTTTAAGATTTTATTTATTTATTCGTGAGACACACACACACACACACAGAGAGAGAGAGAGAGAGAGAGAGAGAGAGAGAGAGAGAGGCAGAGACACAGAGAAGCAGGCTCCATGCAGGGAGCCCGACGTGGGACTCCATCACTGGTCTCCAGGATCACGCTCTGGGTTGAAGGTGGCGCTAAACTGCTGAGCCACCCAGGCAGTCCCATTTTTTCTTTTTTAAAAAGATTTTATTTATTTATTCATGAGAGACACACAGAGAGAGGCAGAGACATACGCAGAGAGAGAAGCAGGCTCCCTGTGGGGAGCCTGACATGGGACTTGGTCCCAGGATCCTGGGATCACAACTCTAGCCAAAGTCAGACACTCAACCACTGAGCCACCCAAGTGCCCCCTCTTCTACGCTTTTTCTATAGCTGTTGTCTAAAGCCTATGAATTACCCTGCAATTTTTGTGGCTTCCTGTGAAGGGCTTGTGGCTGATGTGTGAGATCTCGGGTCACCACTGTCCCTCTACTGGTTCCCCTTCCTTCTGGCCTTGACCTTTCTAATTTTTTTTTTAATCCTCCTGCTACCAGCTATTATAGATCTCCCTGTAGCTCCAGCCACATATTTCCTCTTTTTAAAAAAGATTTTTAATTTATTTATTCATGAGAGACACACAGAGAGAGGCAGAGACATAGGCAGAGGGGAGAAGCAGGCTCCCTGTGGGGAGCCCGATGTGGGACTTGATTCCAGGACCCCAGGATCACACCCTGAGCTGAAAGCAGATGCTCAACTGCTGAGCCGCCCAGGTGTCCTTCCAGCCATGTATTTCTAATTAGTTGCTAGGAACTGCCACTCCAACTGGTTAACAAATATTTACTGAGTACCGATGTTGTGCAAAGCACAGTGTTAGATACTATATACATACAGGAGGGTGGAGGAAAGTGTGTTCAGAGGGAGATAAGCATGCAACAGCTGTTGCAGGAGAGAAGTGATAAAATGTGCATAAAGAAATCTAACAAAGGTGGGAAGGGACAGGTGCCCAGGAGATGGGAGGGTGATATGTTGTGGAGCTGGGCACCCCAGAAATGTTTCTCAAGCTTTAGGCACTTGCACCCCACCTCTGTGATTTTTGCCATAACTATGTACAACCTGTATCAGCTCTAATAGAACTTCCCATGATGATGGAAATGGTCCATATCTGTGCCGTGCAATATGGTAGCCACTAACCACAGGTGGCTCCTGAGCATGTGAAATGTGGCTAATGTGACCACATTGTGAACTGAATTTTAAGTTCCGTTTAATTTTAATTAATTTCAGCTTAAATATCCGCATGTGGCTTATGGCTACTGTATTAGGCAGCATAGATTTAGGGAAAGAAGAAGGGAGAGAGCACTCGAGTCACATAATAGGGCAGAGAGGTCCACGGAAATGTAATGCAAGCCACATAAGTAATTTAAAAATCTCTTATAGCAACATTAAATAAGATAAAAGGAATGTGAGATTAATTTCAATAATATAATTTATTTGACCTAATACAGAAAATAGTATTATAACATAAGCAACATTAAAAAAGGTAAAAGGAGTAAATTAATTTCAGCAATACATTTTATTTGACCTAATACACAAATTGCTATTTCAACAGAGTCAGTATAAAGTTATTAATGATATTTTTTACACTTTTTATTCATACTAACTCTTTGAAATGCAATGTGCATTTTGCGCTTACTTCAGTGTAGTCTTATTTTAATTCAGACTAGCCATATTTCCAGTGTTCAATACCAACAGGTGATTGGTGGACAGTGCAGGTGGACATAGATTTATCCAGAGCCAAGTCAAGTTCTAAAGAGAACTGACTTAGAGCTAGAGTGAACTTCAAATACACTGATCTAGTATAAGGCCACTTTAGCACAGCACTGCCCAAAAGGACATTTTGCAATGATGGAAGTGTTTTATGTTTGGACTATTCAAAATGGTAGCCGCTAGCCACTCACGGCTAATGAGCAACTGAAATGTGGCTTGTCTACTAAGGAAATGAGTTTTTACTTTACCTTAATTTTAAGTTTAAATTGCCATGTGTGGTCAGAAGCAACTGTACTGAATAGTGCACATTTATGTAATTATGCCTTAAATTTTTAAAAAATCAACCTTCCACATTTTTAAACTATTTCATTTTGAATGATAATAAAGCCTAAAACCACAGGTGCAATAT